CTTTACAACTTGTATTCATGACTCTGTGTTTCTCCACTCTCCACAGCATCGCATATGCATCCTCCTCTCCTAGGCCACCGTTTCAATCTTCATCGCTAGCTACAACAAACATTACATTTACATATTAATTTCGCAGTTTTAGTCAATGTAAATAAGCTGCCATTACAGTAAATTTGGTCCTCTGTTAACATAAGCTTGTCCAAAGCTCCTCAGATTAAGGCGCTGGTTGCATAATTAATGTGTGCGTTACATATTAATTCCCAGACTCTCCTCTTCCTGACTGCTTTCATTCGAACCCTGATTAGCCGGCAGGCTCGCCTCTAAGCTGTTGATTCATATTCACACACACAGACGGAGCATTTGCTCAAAGCGCTACTTAACCCCCATCGTTTGTCATCAGATGAGGCCTTCTCTCCTACAGCTCAGCACCACGGCTCCCATGAATCTCAAACCCACTCTGAGGTCAGTGTGACGGCGGAGCGGACGAGCGGCACAAGCCCTCTTGTCCTTTTATGTGACGTTTACACCTCTTAGCCCCAATTGATACCTCCAGATGGCCTTGGTGCTGGTGTGCGCCCATGCTGTGGCCCTTGGCTCTGCCCTGGCCTCCCGCTACCCAAGCAGAGCAGTGGGGTGGCACAGGCTTGTCGAAGCCCAGAGACCCTGGGGAGACATAGACGAGCCCTGACTCGTCCACCGCTGAACTCTAATGCTCCTCTCTGTCTTTTTCCCCCTTCTGCCCTTCCCGCTGTTTAGCAGTGCCCAGCAAGGGTTGTCAAGTCAGAACTACCTGCTCGTCATTAGCCACCGTGAAGCACAGAGAGATTACAGCCTCCACTTCCCTGCCAGCAAAACCATACAGGAGGTGAGACAACCGCACACCAGTCTGTCACCTACACTCTTAAAAATAAAGGTGCTTCAAAAGGTTCTTCAAGCGATGCCATAGAAGAACCATTTTTGGTTCCACAAAGAACCATTCAGTCAAAGGTTCTTTAAAGAACCATCTGTTTCTTACCTTTTTGTAATCTGAAGAACCTTCTTTCACTACAAAGAACCTTTTGTGAAACAGAAAGGTTCTTCAGATGTTAAAGGTTCTTTATGGAACCATTTAGACAAAAAGGTTCTTCTATGGCATCGCGAAGCACCTTTATTTTTAAGAGTGTAGCCCCTCTGTCTGTCTGTCTACAGCTGCTGTCTGTCTGTCTCTCTGTCTCTCCACTGTGTTTCTGCCCGTGTTCTCTCAAGCTGCTCAGATTTTTTTGGTGGGGCGTCAGTTTAATTATTACATGCTAAAATAATAGTCCTCATTGTGCTGGAAATGATTAAGGATGATGATTAAGGCCTGTGTTGAGCCAAAGCTAATTATCTCCCAGTCAAAGTTCTTCCTTTCCAGAATGCCCATGGAACTGCTAACTTCAGGACTGCCTCAAAATGTCACAGCTGTGTGTTTTGGGTGAAACTGTGTAAATTTTGTCATGTTACCAATACATTTAGAATGGGCCCATCATATACAGTTTCCTGTGATTAAGAGATTCACATTGTTTTGCATTTCGAGGCCAATTTTTTGCATGGTAATTTATTCAAAACAAATTTTATTTAGATCTACAAATATATATTGTACATATAGTACAACATTCAGATATTAAACTTAAATTTTATTTAGCATGCAGCACAATAAGACTTTGGAACATGAGTAGTATATTTAGTACAGTATTTTGTATTTTTATTTTTAAATGTAAATCGTTGACATATTTTCCCTTTATTATACCACTTGATACAGATTTTTATTTGGGATATTGTATGTTTTCTTCTAATTTCCAATGATAGCAGACATTCTGAAATATAACCATTTTTAAGTCTTTTTTTCCCTCTTATTTCTCGTTGACTATTGTACAACTTGAGTAAAAATTATGACAGCTAAATTTCCCACTCTCCCATGTTCTGTGGAATGGAAATCTCTGAAATCTTGAGGGAGTAGGGGTTTGCTTATTTCCTCTTTCTGATAACATTATATTTTGTAGCAGGTAAGTTTAATATTCTCGAAGACTGTTGTCTGCTGTGCGTCTTTCTGCTCATCACATTGTCTCAGTATTGAGCAGCATAAACCCCCCTGTGGCTCATCAGCTCCTTTCCCTCTCCCATCAGACCTGTGCGATGCCATTCTTTTCATCACTTTCCTTTTAACTTCACTGTGTTGTATTTAAGGTTGGTTTGTGTGGGACACAAAACCCAAACGCTCCATTCTGTACACACACCGACCCCTCCCTGAGTCCCTCACATTCTCCTCAGCCTGCCCCAGTAACCTACACACAGCTTTCTGGAAATGGCTCCATTAATTATTCACAGCAGGTAGCACGCACCACGTCAAGTGTAACAAGCTCCCTGTGGACTGACAGCGCCACTTGAATCCCTCCTTCAGTGCTGGGGGAGTCATGTTGGGCCAGTGCAGTGCCGTTTTGAAGAAACAGACGTCTGTGATGTTCTTTTTTTTTTTTTTTTAACTTGAGTTAACTTGTGCAGATTCTTACTTTAAATCTGCACTCCAAAAACTCTTATTCTTAACATGGTTTTGTCTTATTTTCCATTTAAAATGTAGGAAAATCCTTGAAACAAAATCAGTTTAAGAAGCAACAATGGTTATACATTATTTTAAGGTGTCCTTGTTACAGTGTAATTGTACATTTAAGTACTGGGTAATATTAATTAACTACATGTACTTACTATATGGTTATGGTTAGAATTAGGGTTTGGCTTAGGGTTACTTGTAATTATGCATCATTTATTGTTATTGTAATAGTAAGTACATGTAACAAAGACACCTTAAAATAAAGTGTTACCGCAACAATATATAAGATATTAAGACTTGTTTTCTGGGAAATTATCTTTATTTTTGATTTAAGTTTTCTAAAAATCCTTGAAACAAGTTCAGTTTACTTGAGTGCCAACACTGCATAAGATATTAAGACTTGTTTTTACTACGGAATAGTGTTCATTATTAACAAAAAAAAAATCTTAAGATATTAAGATTTAGATAATATATTTAAGTTTTTTTTTTTCTCTTTTGGAAGTCTGATAAGCTCGGTGCACCAAAGGCTCCATTTTGAAATTCCATTTATTTGTAAATATCAATTGTGAGAAGCACAAGGAATTTTGTAAGAAACTGTTGGGTCAGAACGTTCTTCCTTAAAGGAAAAGTACCATTAAAATTAAAACGATGTCCTTATTTACTCATCCTCTTGTTTCATTTTTGAGTAAGCGCTTCCTTTAGTAGTTCATACGTTTCATACTCTATATACTTTTAAGTCAGAATTAGTTCTTTTGTTTTTAACTAAAGAACTGATTTTCCCCACCTCAGCTTTGTCCACGCAATCCCAGAATCCCTTTCCCGGCGAAACTGCCGCCTTGATGGCGCTGGTCACCATTACAGTAATCAGACTACTTGACAGGTTTGTAATGGTGCTAATTGAAGAGATTAAAGTGAGATGGGTGAGCGCTCTCTTTCC